AGTTGAGGTCCCATTATATACGTGGCACTGCCTGTTCACTTGGCTAGTCTCACGCCAAGACCATTGAGCTGCGGGCGTCGCCATAACCGCTATATTTTCAATGTTAATCATAGTCATAATCAATTAACACTTCTCTCTTTAAGTTGTGAGGTTTTTGCAAGGAGTCACCATCGTGGCTGGGGTCATTGATCCTGGCCCTCATGAGGAATGAGGACTCTCATTGTGGGAGCAGATAGAAGTGTGCCTGGCACCTAGGTGACCCACATCTCCTGGTACGGCCTTATCTAGTTTTATCTGTACAAGGGCAGGTACAGCAGCCGTGACCTGGCATGGTTTTGTTAACCAGGAGTTCAGACCCCTCAGGGATGCAGGTCAGAAGTGGATAAAATAAAGCAGGAAAGAGGGACAGGGAAAAGGGTGGGAGGCGGTGGGAATATGAGCTTCATGTTTAAATAGGACAGGCAGGAAAGTCCTCCCTGGGGAGGGGACCTTTGAGCAGAGACTTGAAGAAAGTGAGGGAATGTCTGGGTCACTCACTTCTATAATCCTAGCACTCTGGGAGACCGAGGCGAGAGGATCCCTTGAGCTCAGGAGTTCAAGACCAGCCTGAGCAGGAGCAAGACCCCATCTCTACTAAAAACAGAAAAGTTAGCTGAGTATCATGGCACAGTGCACTGTTGTAGTCCCAGCTGCTCAGGAGACTGAGGTAGGAAGATCGCTTGAACCCAGTAGTCTGAAGTTGCTTTAAGCTAGGCTGAGGCCTTGGGCACTCAAGCCTGGGCAACAGAGTGAGGCTGTGTCCTAAAAAGACGAGAGAGAGAGAGAGAGAGAGAGAGAGAAAATGAGCCATGAGGCAAATTAGGAGAAAAGTATTAAGGCAAAAGAAACAGATGGTGCAAAAGCTGGGACAGAAGTGGGTCCAGCAAGTTCCCAGCAAGAGCAAGGAGGCTTGTGAGTCTGGAGTGGAGGAAGGCAGGAAGGGAATGTCAGAGATCAATTCAGAGAGACTTCTCAAGGTCCTACAGATCATACAGGGCCTTGAAGGCCATTCAAAGGGCACTGGCTTTGACTGTGAGTCAACTGGTTTGGAGCAGGGGTGAGATTTGATTTGGTTTGGTTTGATGGAATCATCCTCTTGCAGCCAAGTTGCCTGACGTCATGCAGGCAGAGAAGTTAAGGATGTCGTGACAATCAGAACCCCAGGGTCACCTAACCTCACATCATGCTTTAACACATCTCCCTTTGTCGATGGAGTGGGAAGTGCACATCTGGTATATATGTGCCTCTGAGTGCTGAGGACAGAGGCCACCCAGAAGAGATGGCTCCATCTCTTCAGAGGGAAGATATACACAAACTGTAAGAGGATCAGACTTCCCCTCAGTCTCCCCAGGAGAAAGCCTGCAGAGGACAACTGACGAGAAGACAGCCCAGATTGCCATCAGGTCCAGAAGCTATTGATTATGTTGTAGTCCAAGTGACTCCCTGTACATAAAGGAGTGGCTGGATTTCAACACAGCAAGCAGGAAGAGGGAAAATTCTGATTAGAGAGGTAATATAATATAATGATTAAGAATGATGGGCCTAGAACATCTGATGTGATACCCAGCTCTGTCATTTAAAAGCTGTGTGTCCTTGGGTAAGTTACTTAACCTCTCTGTGCCTCTGTTTTCTCATCTGTAAAATTATAATTAAAATTGTCCCTTCTACATGGAGCTGTTAATAGAATTAAATAGGTTTATGGTGTCTGGAACATACTAAGTGTCTGACATCACTTTTTTTCATGGAAGCAATTCTAGAACACCCACATTATAATTTAAGTTGAACAAATCTGCATGTCAGTTTCTGGACATGAATTTCCAAGTTTAATGCCTTCTGTGTCATCGGTATAGTCCCATGCCAGACTACAAATGAGTGCGTCTTCTTTCTCACTACACTTCTAAAACACTGTTGTACCTGTAGCTGATTAATTGCTTCTTATCAATGACTGTTTTCCAGGAAGGCTAATAGTGCCTGATGTCATCAGCCCCATGTGTGAACTCTTAAATGCTTCCCTGTGCAGTTGCCATTCCTCTGACCGTGAGGAACATTCTGTGATTAAAAAGCATCTCAAGAATTCCATTTAGATGATGATCTCAGACTCAGACACCATTAGACAGCCGTGATTTACACTGCCTGTGAAGTTAGAAAGTAGCGAGACTTCTACTTTCCAAATGCCCCTGCGCCTTACAAAACAACACAGTTCTTTGTGATTTTTTTGTTTTACATTGGATTCTAGCAACTGTTTTTATGTAAAGTCTTTTTTTTTTTTTTTAAACAGAATCTCACTTTGTCACCCTGGGTAGAATGCCCTGGCATCATAGCTCACAGCAACCTCAAACACTTGGGCTTATGGGATCCTCCTCCCTCAACTTCCCAAGCAGCTGGGACTATAGGCACCTGCCACAACTCCTGACTAGTTTTTCTATTTTGAGTAGAATTGGGGGTCTCACTCCTACTCTAAGCATCCACATGCTTCGGCCTCCCGGAGTGCTAGGATTACAGGCATGAGCCACCAGGCCTGGTTGGTTTTATGTGAAAATCAGTGAGGTAAGAGGGAAATACTCATTTTATGTCAGGCTTTAGGCAGGGCACTTTATAATTCTATAAGCCTGTGGTTATACCAAACGCATGGCAGAGCTAGTCTCGATAATTCTGGAGTTCTGCTATAGCTAAGGATCAACTTGGATCATTGGAGGTTTTTTTTTGT